GAGGAACACACAGACTGGAACTAAATACATGACTTAACGAGGGAATTGGGAGGAACACAGGTGAACAGAATGACTAATTAGACAGGGGAGAAACTGGGTCACAAAGCACATGGGGAGGGAAAACACAACAAAGACAGTCCAGAGGCGTGACATTACTCCCCACTGCCGGAAGGCACATCCCACGCTGTAACAACAACAGAAGGAGGGATGGGTGGGAACTTGGGAGGAGCCTCAGGTGGACGGACACCCGGGAAGGGGCTGGCAGACAGAGACCAGGGAGGTGATGAAGGAGGGAGGAGCCAGGGAGGAAACAGGAGGAGCCAGGGCGGATCAGATGGAGGGAGGAACCAGGGAGGAACCAGGAAGAATGTAACAACAACAGAAGGAGGGATGGGTGGGAACTTGGGAGGAGCCTCAGGTGGACGGACACCCGGGAAGGGGCCGGCAGACAGAGACCAGGGAGGTGATGAAGGAGGGAGGAGCCAGGGAGGAAACAGGAGGAGCCAGGGCGGATCAGAAGGAGGGAGGAGCCAGGGAGACGACAGGAGGGACTTGGAGCATGCGGTGCCAGGTGGGACCCAGGACACAGCCATAATGTTGACCCACGGTGGAGCCGACGGAGGGAGGAGCCATGGTAGAGGAAGGGTTGACGACACCAGGGGGCCGACCAACGGCGGAGGAGCAGATGGCAGAGGAGCCCGAGGCGGAGACAGAGAGCCGATGAGCCAGGGCGACGGGGAGGATCCGGAGGGCTAAGGTGGAGCAGATGGTGCCGGTGCCGGAGCGACAGAGGAGGAGCATGCGGTGCCAGGTGGGACCCAGGACACAGCCATAATGTCGACCCACGGTAGAGCCGACGGAGGGAGGAGCCATGGTAGAGGAAGGGTTGGCGACTCCAGGGGGCCGACCAACGGCGGAGGAGCAGATGGCAGAGGAGCCCGAGGCGGAGACATAGAGCTGATGAGCCAGGGCGACGGGGAGGATCCGGAGGGCTAAGGTGGAGCAGATGGTGCCGGTGCCGGAGCGACAGAGGACTGAGGAGGAGCCGGAGGGATGGAGGAGCCTGACAGAACCGGAGGGACGAGGCACAGCCGGAGAAGTGGAGTCCCGAGGCGACGGATGGTCGACGACAGACGGCGGAGTCAAGGGATAATACAGCCATGACGACGCTGAAGGATGGCAGTCCTGCGGAGCTCGCACCGTGCTGATGGTGGGCTGAGGGTGAGCAGAGGGGCTACCAGATGACAGCAGTGGAGGAGGCAGGAGAGGATGGTTGGGCAGACATTTGTGAGCCTCCGGGCTTAACTTGGGAACAGGAGTCTTCTCTGGGCTAAACTCAGAGACTGGAGCCCTCTCTGGGCTAAACTCGGGGACTGGCGGCGAGATGATGGGCTGGGCTCTGGGTTTGGCTGTGCACTGGATCGGACTTAGACACTCTCCAGACACCGGATGATCGCTTCCCTCCAGCTCAGTCCGGTGGTGTCTGGAAGGTTGACGGGGTGGTAGTAACTAGCTCCGATCCAGAACAACGAGTTCAGGGCAGCATCGTCGAACGCCATAACCACGGCGAGCTGGCTGAACTCAACTGCATACTCCAACAGGGAAAGGTCTTTGCGGGCAAGGGCGGTGAACCTTTTGGCGAGAGGATCCATAAGGGAAACAATGGGGAAAACAGAAAACAAAACACTGGGAAAAAACGCTGAAAACAAACGGAGGGAAAAACGCAAGGTTAACGTCATCACGGTCACGATACACTGCCGGAAGGAACGAAGGAACCGTAGATAAACGAAACTGTCATTTATTAAATCCACACTTGGGAGGGAAGGAAGACACACGTACACAACTGGTAGACCCGACAAAGGAGGATCACACAGACTGGAACTAAATACATGGCTTAACGAGGGAATTGGGAGGAACACAGGTGAACAGAATGACTAATTAGACAGGGGAGAAACTGGGTCACGGAGCACATGGGGAGGGAAAACACAACAAAGACAGTCCAGGGGCATGACAGTTATCAGCTTATAATGTATAATAAATAACGTGTAATAAATCTGGACCACAGGTGTAGAAATATTAAAAATATTACTTATGAAGAACCTCCCACAGCTAAATGGTCCTCATAAAAGTCGATCAATAAAACTGTTACTACAAAAAGTTGTCTTTGCTAAACTTGCAAAACAGATAAAATAGGGAAAAATGCCCCAAAAAAACAAGTATTTTAATTTAACACAGATTTGTTTATTTTGAATACACGTGTTTTATGTATCGACAACATCTGAATCTATCGAGCTGAGCCTCAGGTCTTTTAGAATCTAAAATAAGAAGCCATTAGTGTCTGATATAAAACAAATATCTTACAAACATCATTTGGGCTCATCTGCTAAACAGAGTAAATTAAAAATCAACATTCTGATGGATTAATCATCCGCTTCTCTTTGAAAACCCCTCAAATCCGCCTTTCTGTCAGCACGTCTTCATCTGAGAGATTTCCTGCTTACAGTGTGCGGTCACTGAGCACCGTTCCCATTACAACCGGTGAATGGAACCCGTTATACAGTCTTGAACGATACAGAGGAGCTTCCCGAGGTCGGTTTACTAACCATTCAGAGCTGTGCTTACTGTACATACCGCAATCTTGTTTATTCCCTCGACAACTCTGGCATGCGCTCGTTTGCGCATGGTAAACAATTGGCTTTGTGAGTTTATGAGCGTGTTGAGGGGAAGGAAAACATGATGTACTTGACAATAAAAATCAGCTGAGCCACAAACACTGGCTCGCATTCACTAATAACGACGCAAGTGACCTTATATGTATCCAGGTCGCAACAGGTGTGTACATGCATACATTTGCTCTCATTCTCATTATAATGTTTATAAATCTGTATCATTTTCAATGAGGGAACAAGAACACACAGTTAGTAATTTAAAAAAGTAAAGATAGTAAAGATGAGGACTTCCAATACGGTCTCATATTCTGTATATGAATAAATATACCAAAAAAAATTACTTACATTTTAGCTATTATATTTAAAACGTTTTTGAAAATCTCTTATATTCTTATGTTATTTGATCAAAATTATAATAAAAAAAACAACAATATTGTAAATTATTATTACAATTTAAAATAACTGTTTTCTATTTTAATATTTTTTAAATGTAATTTATTCCTGTGATGGCAAAGCTGTATTTTCAGCAGGCATTATTACAGTCTTTAGTGTCACATGATCCTTCAGAAATCATACTAATATGGTGATTTACTGCTCATGAAACGTTTCTTATTATTATGAATGTTAAAAACAGTTGTGCTGTGTAATATCGTTGTGGAAACACAATCCATTCAGGATTCTTTAATGAATAGACAGTTCAAAAGAACAGTATTTATTTGAAACAAACATCTTTTGCAACAACATAAATACTAAATCAGTAACATTCATTACTGTCACTTTTAACAGTGCAAGTGACCTTTTTTATATGTGCATAAATGTTTGCAACACACATCAATTTGCTCTTATTCTCATTCTGATGTCATTAAATTTATATACTTCTATCAAGTACACATAGTTAGTGATTTGAAAAATAAAGCTAGTAAAGATGTGCGCACAAATACGTGTGAATGAAACCCATTGTGTCTATGTTTGTTTGTGTGAGCATGATACTCATCCTCGAGGTTTGAGATATGGTACAGGAGTGGGGAGACATGCAGAAGAACAAGGTTTTGCCCTGAGTTGTGCACAGGTATGGTGTGTATCAATTTGTAAACCAATACACGGAAGAAGCGTCTGACAAAGCCCTCATTATGGAGACAGAAGGGGGACAAGACTAAACAGGAGAGGCGCCACTGTGGTTTAAATAACCTTGGTCGATGCCAGGCATTTGGGGCACAATGTAATATGATTTCCGGTGGGAGAAATTAGTATTTTGAAGGATGGCCCGAAGCTACGTGCAAACACAGCTCTGGCAGAAACTAAAGCTCTGAGGAGATGTTGTGAACATTGACAGATGATGAGGTAACAGGACAGTTGTGTCTTCTTAAATATCGTGACTTGGATCGTCAGCCTGAATATCACTTTTACCTGACAACAGGTTATGAATATGCAGAATATGATAGGCTTTCAAGTTCATAAAATGAAAAACAGGAAACTATCAGAGACCATTAGTGAAAATGTATTATTTTTAATATAAATTCAGTAATAAAATCCATTACAAATTAGAATTTTTGTATTTTGACAGATTATGTAAATATACTTAAATTGCATATTTTTTATAAATATTTCTTCTTCAGCTGCCTTTTTTTTTTTTATAATTCAAAATCTTAGTATTAAAACAAGGACTTTCAATATTGTCTCAGACTATGTATATGGAAAAATATACCAAAAACAATAAAAAATAAATAAATAAACAAGATGAAGAATCTTGCAGATTTTTTTTTTTTTAAATGCAAAACACTGCTATTCAAAAGTTTGGGATCATTAAGATTTTTTTATGTTTTTGAAAGTCTCTTATGCTCCATTTATTTTAAGAATACAATAAAAAACATTAATATTGTGAAATATTATTACAATTTAAAAGTTTTCTATTTTAATACATTTTTAACTGTAATTTATTCCTGTAATGGCAAATCTTAATATTTAGCAGTCATTACTCCAGTCTTCAGTGTCACATGATTCTTCAAAAACTACTCTAATAATTTATGTTTAATAAATATTTCGTATTAATTATTAAAAATGTAGAAAACTGCTGCTTAATATTTTTGTGGAAAACTTTTTTCTTTCAGGATTCAGGATTTTTCAGGTTCAAAATAACAGCATTTATTCAAGTTCAAGTTCAAAACAACAGCATTTATTTGAAACAGAAATTCTTGTAACATTATAAATGTCTTTACTGTCACTTTTGATCATTTTTATGCATCCTTGCTGAATAAAAGTATTATGAAATCATGAAAATAATGTGATTGCATGGCTGTGTGTTCTGTTAGGTGGGACAGTTGTGAAGGTTACCTGAGGTGGTCTCTCTGGAATGGGTTCGTTCTTCAGGGCCTGAAGGGCTTTCATGGCCGCACTGTGTCGGGCAGCTTGGCGAGTCCGCCCCTCTCCAATAAACTCGTTGTTCCCCACTGTCAGCTGCACATAAAATACCTTAGGCACTGGGTAATGGTACCTAGGTTTGGGAGAGGGCCAAGAGACAGAGAAGGAAAGGTTGAGTGAAAGAGAAAAAGGCAGGTAAAAGGGAAAAAAGCCCTTTGATTTATAAGAGGATTATCTTATCGAAACTTGGCAGTTTTATTACTGCACAAACTCTAGAATGGAAAGGAGTTGAATTGAACATGCCGACTGCTAATTGGAAGGAATGACGGGAAAAACATGACTTGTGATGGAAAGGAAGCAACAACATTTTTTGGGTTTTGGGGTTTTTCCATCCATACTATCGGGAATACAGCAATATTCAAATCCCAGCTAATAGGATAAGCTAATAATTATCGTAATTATAATCCATGTAATTGCTGATAACCAATATATGGCACATATAAAATTGTATTAAAATTCTATGAATAATAAATTCCATACTATTTGTCTATTTTGTAAATAAATAAAAAAACACTAAAAAGTTAAATTAATTATTTTAAATAAAAAAAGTGAAATTAGGCACCACAACATTATACTACTACTGAAAATGCTTCTAGTTTGTATGTTTTATTTAATAATTATACATTTTTATTTAACACATTTTCAAGTTCATCTAAAAATGCTTTAAATAAAAATCTGTTACAAATTAGAAATTTACATTAGAAAGTGTCATTTTAAATTTTAACAATTTTTAATTAAACTATTTCTTCAACAGCTAACTTTTCTTATTTTTAAATAACTCAAAATACAATAAAATCGTTTGTAGAGTTGTAACAATGAATATTAAGTATGAAAAATTGACAATTATTTAGAAATTTGCTAAAGATTACATGTAACAGTGTCATTAAATTAGTGTTTTAAAGATTTACTTTAATTGAGCATTTGATGACAGCAGAGGTAACTTAAATGTAAAAAAAAAAAAAATTGTGCATTCACAATACTGGCCAACATATTTAATACTCAAAAAACATTTTTTTTTAAAGATGTAATGCAACAGTCATCTGAATGTGAAAGACTGTAGCTACAATGCTTTAAAGGATGTAAATCTAAACTGTTAGCATTTCAAGTAAAGTGCCGCTACTAAACAAATGTAAACTATAGATAATCAAGTCAACCTCACTAACAGACTAGTTGGTTGTTGCACAGCTAGTTAAGTATCGAGACCTTAATACTCACGCAGCTATATCGTACATTATTATGTACCCCCTTCACTCCGCTGTCACAGAGCTCCAATGAAGTAAGTGTCTAAAGACACAAAGGCTGATGGGAGTGGTATACAAAGCTTTAAAACAACTAGAGAAAAGACAGATTTATTTCTGAGGTGGAACCCGAACAATATTGGTAGAGTAATAAATGGTGAAATTAAAGGGCCCTTCTTCCATGGGGTCAATGACATAACAATGAGTTGGTGAAATAATGACTCCCATTGGCTCCAAGCGAAGGAGCTCGGAACAAAAGCGGCTTCACATATATCCAGCTTTCTTTATCTTAACTTTGGCTCACCCATGCAGGGCTGTCAGGCCGCTGTTCAGTGGGCAGATTTAAGGGTCTGTTTGCACTCTAAGGCCTTTATGAGGAACGGTACCGACTGACCCAGCGTCAGCTCTCCCCCTTCCCTCGTCGAGGAGAACCCATTCACACTCCTCTGCAGCATCTGGGGACTGAACTGTGCTAAAAAGTAGCTGCTGCTTTCCAAAATCATCACGCTCTCACGGTTTTAGCTCTTATCAGCAATTGGGGAATTAAAAATACATCAACAGCAGTCATGAACAAGGTCAAAATGTGTTGGACTCTTAGAAATGCTTAGAATCAGATCCTGGAACTAAATGGTACATTTTGTTAAAGCCAACTGTTTGCAAACCCCTTTATTTCCGTAATTTGATGCATTTCCGAGTGAAGCAGGATATACAAGAGAAAAATGTAAGGCATGACTTGATTTTATCAATCAGAAATCACTCGAAAAAATACAGTAGGTACACTGAAAGAAATCTGTTATGCTAACCAAGGCTGCATTTATGTAATCAAAAATACAGTAACGTGCATTTTTTTTTATTTCAATGTTTTAAAAAGTAATTTATTCCTGTGATGGCAAAGCTGTATATTCAGCAGTCATTACACCAGTCTTCAGTGTCACATGATCCTTCAGAAATCATTATAATATGCTGATTTTGTGCTTAAGAAACATGTATTTGATCATATTTCTTCTTATAAATGCTGAAACAAATTGTGCTGATTAATATTTTTTTCTGGACACTGTGCTCAATTTTTTTCTGTATGTTTTTGATGAATAGAAATTTCAAAAGAACAGCATTTATTTAAAATAAAAATGTTTTGTAACATTCTAAATGCCATTACTGTAACTTTTGATCAATTTAATACATCCTTGCAGATTAAAAATCTTAAATCTATATTTAAAAAAAAAAAAAAGCCAAACTTTGCGTACATCCCATAACAATGTAAAATGGGTTAACAGCTGACTTTAACATAAAATGTCCCACAAAATAAATAAATAAATAAATAAATAAAAGTTAAAGGAGGTCAAAAGTTATACATAGCTAATTTGAGGTGAAGTCCTCCAGGCAGAATACGGCTTCATTGGCCACTGGTAGAGTCACATGCTCAAAGCTTTCATGATTATTTAAACTTGAACAGAGGAAAGTCTAAAACTGAAACAGACATGTGCCATGTACTGAATTATACTGAACTAAGGGTCATTTGATCTATATATACTTTTCCATAAATGTTCCAGTTATTTAGTTTCAGCTAATAGAGAACTTCCATTTCATTGTAGGGCTCGTGATATTAGATTTGATACCAATTGAAGCCATCTGGGAGATGTTGAAATCAAAGCTCATGCCAAAGCCACCAGGAAAGAAGAAAAGATAGCGTTACATGCCTGATAATGAAATGCAGAACTATATTCCTGCCCAATAAAATTATATCACAATAATTCCACAATGACTGAGTAACTAGTACAACCACATAAATCAAGAATGTGGGTCTCTAAAACAGTAAATATATCTGTATTTAATATCTGTATTACAATAATTAGTTCAGCACAAACCTTATATTTCAGATCTCTTCTGAAAATCCAATAAATACAAAAATGTGTTACACAAGGGGAAAATAAAATAAAAAAATTTGTCCAAATTATGTTAAATGATAATTAAACTTAAATTACTTTTAAAATATGCTTCAGTTCTGTACCATAAATGTGTCACGCCCATGGACTGTTTTGTGTTTGTTTTTCTCCCCCACGTCCTCCATGTCCTAGTTTTCCCCTAATGTCTGATTGTGATATTAATTCCAGGTGTTTCTTGTTAATTTCCTTATTTAGTTCCCAATTTAAGCCCTGTATTTTCCTGAGTCCTTCGTCCTGTCTTAAACGTCCTTAGGTTCCTGTACTACGTGTGTTTTAATAAATAATGTTATTTCTTCGTGATAGAAGCTGTTACTTCGTGATGTTTTATCGACATCGTTATTCTTCGATGTCTCCTCGCTTCTTCGCTCCTCGTATCTGACACAGTAGCAGCAGCATCGTGACAGAAAACAGGACCTACAAACAGTAAGCGGCGCCCCTTCTCCCCGTGTTTTGGTTTCTGTTTTTTGGAAAGTATTTTGTTTTCTATTTTTTTCCCCCCACGATCATGGAAATAGTGGCAAGATTTGCCGCTCTAGCCCGCAGAGATCTTCCATTTGTGGAGAACGCCAGGGAATTCTGTGGGCTCGCCGTTAAGACGCCGTTGGATGACGCCACATTGAATTCTCTGTTTTGGATCGGGGCCAACTATCATCACCCCGTCGACCTCCCAGACACCACGGGACTGAGCTGGAGGGAAGGAATCCTCCGGTGTCTGGAGAGTGTCCGGCCCCGGTCCAGAACCAGATCGGCGTGAAGCCTGCCGTCCGCTCAGCAGTCAAGCCCGCCGGCCACTGAACTCTCAAGCCCACCGGCCGCTGCACTCTCAAGCCCACAAGCCACTCCGAGGTTGGGCCCGCCGGCCATTCCCAAGTCAAGCCCACCAGCCGGTTCACTCCCAAGCCCTCAACTGACAGCAGCAGTCTCCTTCACCTCTGCTCAAAAGAGGAGAATGCGGAGGAAGAGCTGTGGGCTTCAGCCCATAAGTCCACTCCAGTGTTGGCTCCAGCCCGAGTCCGCTCCAGTATCGGCTCCAGTGTTGGCTCCAGCCCCCGAGTCCGCTCCAGTGTCGGCTCCAGCCCCTGAGTCCTCTCCTGAAAGGGCTCCAGTTCCCACGTCCAGCCCAAGGAGGGCTTCAGTTCCCAAGTTAAGCCCAGGGAGGGCTCCTGTTTCCAAGTCCAGTCCAGAGAGGGCCATAGTTCCCAAGTCAAGCTCAGGGAGGGCCGCTGCTCCTACGTCAGGCCCACGGAGGGCCTCAGAATCCAGAAGTTCCCCCAAGGAATTTTTTGGGGGGGCTATAGGGCTCCGGCCGTAGAGGCTGGGTTGAGTGCTGAGGCCAAGGCCACGGAGGCCGCTCCACCATGGCTCCCTAAGCTGCCTGCTCCGCCATGGCTCCCTGAACTGCCTGATCCGCCATGGGTCCCGGAACGGGTACTGCCCTGGAGGCCGTCCGTCCTGTGTAAGCCTGTCCCTGGAGGCCTCCAGAGCGCCTGCCCCCCTCCCCTCCCCTCCCCGGTGGAATTGTTATGGCGCAGGACACGCCTTCCGGGAGGGGGGAGTAATGTCACACCCATGGACAGTTTTGTGTTTGTTTTTCTCCCCCACGTGCTCCATGTCCTAGTTTTCCCCTCATGTCTGTTGTGATATTGATTCCAGGTGTTTCTTGTTAATTTCCTCATTTACTTCCCAATTTAAGTCCTGTGTTTTCCTGAGTCCTTCGTCCTGCCTGTTATTTCTATATTCGTCGATGTCTCCTCGCTCCTCGTATCTGACACAGTAGCAGCAGCATCGTGACAAAATGTGTCTACTGGGTGTTTTATAATAATTTTTATGACAATTAAAAGCATGAAACCATGGGGCTGATTTTAACCAGCGTTACTTCTTTATTATAGTAT